AGGGGACACTACAACTGGCAGTGGGATTTACTGATCCTTCCTCCTGAAACCAATGTACACATATGTTCTTCAAATGTGCAATAGAATCATCGTGACCCATTTATAGAAAGCACAGCATTCCTACATCCATTTGCAAGAGGATAGGTAAGGAGAGAGCCAAAGAGAAGGGAGGGAGGTAACTTACAATTCACTAGAATAGAAGAAACAGATCTCCTCTTTGAACAGCCCTTAGTGGAAGGGTAATATGTGCATTCATACGCAGGTGTGCGTCACCAGTGTCCGGTGTCTCATGAAGACCACTGTTGGGGGAATCCTGGGGTGAGAGAATGAAAAGCGATAACCTACTTCGAAATAACGCAGTTTGAGAAAAAACCTGTTCTTTGTTTACCTATAGACCAACCAAATGAACTGTTTTTCACAGTGTAGATCCATAAAATCCGAAATAAATAGATGCTTAGTAAAATGCTGCTTTGTTTGGCATGCTCTTACTCTAAATATTGCAGATTTTACAGTAATAACAGTAGAGTAAAATTTTACGTGTTAGATTTTGATATTTGATGCTAAAGAATTATTTTCTGTGGATAACTTAACCTTATGACTTCCACTTTAAGTGATTTCTATTAATGTTACATGCTGGCTGTTTGGAGTGTTAGGTCAAGGTTTCGTAGAGAAAAGCTATTTGTCTCTGTTTTTTCTTATTTTAAAGTGATCGCAGGCTTTTGCTGCCTCAGAGAACACGACTTGATTGAAGGCAATGTTGTTGTGTGATGCTGTGGAGTAGTCTAAAGATAAAAATCAGAAGTGTTCAGTGATTGGGCTTGCTACTTCCCGCCTGCAAAAATCATTATTTCTCTTATTTGCATTGACATACCAGCCAATGATGTTAATCATCTTCAAAGATTTCCTTTGTTCTTGAAGTCTGCTGGGCTATCCCAGCACCATTTTACAGAAAAGGTTTTGCAGTAAATCTGTAAAGTGCCAAACAAAACAAAACAAAACAAGTGGGTGGGGCCTGAGAGGTGCTTGAGAAGACACCTGAGGCTCCTGGGGAAACCAGAAGGCAAGTGGTTGACTTAGGTTTTGACATAAATGAGAGGGCCACAGAGACAGTGAGGTATCAGAGTGCGGATTTAGGGAAGGCAGAGGTCTCTGGGTGTAGGGAGGGAAGGCAGAGGAGAAGAAGCCTGCATGTGAGTAAACTATTCTTCATGCAAGCAGTGGGCAGTGGTCTGAATTCTTTTTGCCTCTTTTTGTTTACATCTGGAATGACAAGCAGCGGCTTACAGATAAAGAGCTTTGCAAAAACCAATGTAAAATGCATCAATTTTAATGAATTTGATAGCCATTATAAGGCCTAAGAATGGCCAGGCAGGATCCTGCGAAACCAAGTTGCTTAGAGAGAAGTATCTGGAAGCATTCAGGCCCATTTTAATAAGTACATACTTTATAAAAATGTCTCAAAGAGGCCGGCGCCGCGGCTCACTAGGCTAATCCTCTGCTTTGCGGCGCCGGCACACTGGGTTCTAGTCCCGGTCGGGGCGCCGGATTCTGTCCCGGTTGCCCCTCTTCCAGGCCAGCTCTCTGCTGTGGCCCGGGAGTGCAGTGGAGGATGGCCCAAGTGCTTGGGCCCTGCACCCCATGGGAGACCAGGAGAAGCACTTGGCTCCTGCCATCAGATCAGCGCGATGCGCCGGCCGCAGCGGCCATTGGGGGGTGAACCAGTGGAAAAGGAAGACCTTTCTCTGTCTCTCTCTCTCTCACTGTCCACTCTGCCTGTCAAAAAAAAAAATGTCTCAAAGAGAATAGGGGCACAATTACTTTCAGATTCGCCACAGGAGTCCATAAATTCAAAAACTTGCTAAAGATCACCTTTGCTTGCAGAGTGGTTATTTTGCTTTATTTAATTATTTTATTTTAAGCCATACTCAAGGATCAATTTTCCTAGGCATTACCCCGATGAATATTTTCCTTGGACATATTGAGTGTTTCACTCCTCCTTTGGGTGCCTCCTGTTGTCTCTATGTGCTGGCCAGGGTATGGAGAGGAAGCCTTTTATTGCCCTTTGTGTAACCATCTGTAAATACCTGTCTTCCTAGCAATATGTTCAAACTGCTGGGCTGCACAGAACTAAGAAAATGGATTTTTAGAGAAACCTCCCTTTACGTGTATCTCAATCTCATTTCATGGAGAAAAGACATGTGACTGTCCTAGAACTCTGAACTTTCTGATCTGTGCATCCTATGGCATGCCTGTCCATCATTTTATTCTCTGCTGCTCTCATAACCCTGTTTCATGCCCGTGGTGAGTCATCCCATGGAGGCTCTGGATTGCTTCTCTCCCTTTGCTCTCAGAGACCACACGTGGCTTTCTCTCTGGTATGTTCAGCCTCTTCCTTCTACTGGATCCTTCCCGTTGGTATTTAAACACAGTCACAACTCAAGTGTTCAGCAGCAACAACAAACAAATGCACACAACGTAGCCTCCAAACCTGCAGACCCCTCCTTTACCTTGTGTCCACTTGTGTCCTAGCTTTGCTTTCCCTCTTTCATGGGCAAACTCCTTGACGCAGCTGTCCAGAACTTGCCATCTCCACTTCTCACGCACTCCTCACCCCACTGCAGTCTGGCTTCCATCTCCAACCTGCTTTCTCTTCCAACAACCACAGTCTTGGAGCCCGAAGCCCAGGAATTTGTCTCTCTCTGATTTCCTCACCTGCCCACGTGAAATGAATCCCCTTGTCCCATTCCTATGGTCACTGAATTTCTGACATCAGTTTACTGCGTCCCATCACTGTTACCCTCTTCTATCCTTGCTTGTTCTGTGTGGAGGTGATGGTCTGGTGGATGTGTGCTGCGGTGTCATGAGGTCACATACGGATGCCACTGACTGCAGTGGCCAAAGATCTGGTCCCTGGAGTTGGCCTTGTTGTTTTCGCGTGCTCTTTATGTGAGTTTTCTATTGGAAGTGGTGACGTCAGCATCCCTCAGCTGGTTCCCGTCCGGTTCCCTAGCATTTTCCTTTCATTTACAGGGGGAGCATCTGTTGCTCACAACGGTCGCTTCAGCTCATGGTCATCAGAGCCCAGCTCTGACCCTCGTGAGCTGAATGAGCTTGAGCAGATCATCGACTCTCCTGCCACCTCATTTCCTTATCTGTAAAATAAATGGCTTCCCCTAGTGCGGAGGGTCTCACCCCTGGCTGCACATCAGAACCCTCCGGGAGCTTTGTAAACGCCCACAGTCCAGGCTGGACCTTAGGCCAGTGATGTCAGTCTTCTGACACCTGGGCCTCAGGTTTTGTTTTTTTTTCTTGATTTTTTTTTGGTCAGACTACTTTTAAAAAAGCTCCTCCCAAAGATCTCAATGTATAGACAAAGCTAAGAACCACTGACTTAGTGCTTTTTAAAGGCCTTTGCTCTGCCATCAGTTTGTGTTTTCCTCCTGCTCCAATCCAAAGTTGAAGTTTCTCTTCTAATGTTTTTACTAAGTTGAGAAGAAATAGCTGTGAAGCTCCTCCCACCCCTTCCATCTGCTGTTTGTTCTTATTTACATACGATGGAACCCAGCCCACTGATTTACAGCTCTGGTTCCCTTACAACTGTTATTGAACTGAAAACATAGCTGAAAACTTATTAAACAGAAAAAAATTATTTTGAGCTTCATGCTCACAATTCATTATAGAACAAAGGAAACATTTAAACTTCTTCCCTTCTAGAATTTATGCTAAAGATTGATTTACATAATCTCAAATGTAAAGTTTACTTCTATGCCCAAACCCAGTATTTATTCTTTCCTGAGTGTCCCATTACGAAAGCCAAAATAGAGGCAGTAATTTGGCTTAGTGGTTAAGATGCCTCTTGGGACACCCACATCCCGTATTGGAGTGCTAGGTTCAAGTCCCAGCTCCACTCCTAATTCCTACTTCCTGATAATGTGCACCCTGGGAGGCAGCAGTTGATGGCTCAAGTGAATGCGTCCCTGCCACCCATGTGGGAGACTCAGATTGCGTTCCAGGCTCCTGGCGTTGGTCTTTGCCAGCCCCATCTGTTGTGGACATTGCAGGAGTGAACCAGCAGATGGGAGATCTTTGTATCTCTCAGTGTCCTTTTAAAACAAAACTGATTTTTTTTTTAAAAGCCAAGGCATCACTGTAGGGCAGTGGGATTCCATAAACAGGCAGGAAGGACCTCCTCACACTGCCCCGTCTTCTGATTAGGTGTCCACATCTCTTTTCTTCCAGTTCTCTCTACTGGCCTAAAGATCCTGGCAGCAAAGCCTCAGCATGGGGTTGGCTTCGCTGTTCAAATGCTTTCAAACAAGTCTTGCAGAAGATGTCCCTGCATAAGTTCACTTTAGACCTTACCATTTTAGATTTGAGTTAACAAAACTTTTTTGAGCTGCAAGGGAGTGGGGAGGAGAGTAGGAAAGTGATAGAGAACAGCCAAGCATTTGGTTTAACTGCTGGTGCTCAATTTGGAAGGAATTGGGGTCCTGACATAAGTCTGATTCATCTTGGAAAAGTGTCCCTTGGGGTACTGGCTCTTCCTGCTTGTTCTGTTTAACTAGCACATTGCAGTGCTCCTTCATGGTCTTCTACAATGCCTCTCTGAAGTACACAGCCTTTGCTTGTTTCTCCCAGACCCTTATTCAACCATTGAAATTAGTTGCTACTTTGCTTAGGATGGACCCATTTAGTTGCTACAGACAGGTTATTAGTCACAGCCTACAATGCTTTCCTTTGCCCCGCATAATCCTTTTCTAGCTAGACCATCAAATTATTCTCCTGGATAGAAATGGCTCCTTTTCCTTTAGCGGTGGGTAGAAGAGTGTTGTCTTAGGATAAGAAATGTTCCCAGAGCATGGAGTTGGGGTGAAAGAATCTCTTTCTCACCACATTGACCATTGTATAACTTCTCATTCAAGCCAATGTGGTCACAGAAAAAAAAATCTCATCTGAAGCTTCTTTGCTTTGACTCTGCATCTTTGGATATCTTCTTGTAGATGGAGGAATTGATTGAAGGTGTTCGCTGGGCCTTTATTGACATGCTGGAGAAAGAAAATGAATGGATGGATGCAGGGACAAAAAGGAAAGCCAAAGAAAAGGTAAGGATTCCTTTTGATTAGAAAATAGACTTTGGGTTTAATAGATTTTTATGCTTGACATTGACTGTGTAGTTGATTTTTATATTGACTGAGCTGTTGACTCTGAATGACCCCAGAGTTAGGTGTCTGCTTTTGGACGAATACATGGATTTCATCACCAGCAAGTAAGAGAAAATAAGATCTGACTGCTTCTTTCTCGAACTGCATTTTCTGACACCTTGTAATTCAGCCTTTCCTCCTCTCCTAATTGCGATCTGTAAGAGCACCATGGCTTGCTGCCTAGTGAATTTTGCCTTAAACTATCATTGGATACTGCAGAATGCAGAGCAATGGGGAGCCACGAGGAGCAGCTGGCAAATGAGCCCTCAAGACACAAAGAAGAAGAAAAACCCATATTGGCCATGTGTCCTTCTGCTCTGGGCGCGATGTATGCAAATGTCTTGGGGCAGATCCTTTCCTGTAACCACACAGATTGACTTCCCTCATGTTGCACAAATGACCTCACTGGCGTGGCTGTGAAACGCAGATCAGATTCATGATAGAGCGTTGTGTTGGAATTCAAAAGTCTTTCCTAACGGAAGTGGACATGGGCAGGGCCTTGTAAAGTTTTCTGAAACTGTGCAACAAGATAGGGAAATAAATGAATAAATACCAACTATGCTGTTTAAAAATAAAGAATGGGGTGTCCATCTTGAATTCCAGGTGCTCTGATGGAGCTAAGCTCAAGTGGGTAAGACACACCTGCTACATACCCCCTTAGTGGAGGCCACTCTGCTGCTAGGAGACTGTAATCAGGAGCATTTCTTTAGAGAGGTGTTTCTGAAACACCTTTATGCTGAGAGCGATCACCTAGAGTACCCCCGGGACGCTCTAGCTTTGTAGTCTCCTCCCCCCCCAAGCAAGATCTGGTCTATGGGTCTTGGGTGCACATTTGTGAATTTTAGCCAGTCTCTTGGGTGATTGCTCTCACTAGGTAGGCCCCGAGAAGGCTGCTTGGCATCATACTGAGTTACACTAAGCACAGAGACTTTTGCCTTTTGGTTAACAAACACAGAGGGCAACACTCTGGGAATGCCAAGCCTTGTTGAAATGAGAATGTGCAAGGATGTTTTCTAGAACTGTAATCCTCACGAGCTGGATAAACATTGCCTTAGATCTTTTTGTCAATAGATGTGAAAAGGCTGTTGAGTGTTGATACTGAAGGAAGAACTTGGGTGGTGGTGGGGGGGAGGAGTGTTGGAAGAAGACAAAGGGTAAGTTTGATTTTTTTTTCCCCCTCTCAAAAATCTGTCAGAGCTGTCTTAAGTCAAGGAAGGCACAAGCTGATGGAGGCACGAGCCCATGGGCTGTGATGGGAAGCTCTCCAGATGGTAGACGGAACTTTGGGCAGCAACATATTGCTGCCTTGTGAAGGCTTCAGTGATGTGCCGAGCTAGCCTGTGCTATCTGGAACAGTGTGTTGTGCACTAGGAAGGCAGACACTCAGCGTATCAGGGGCCTTCCTCTTAGCCTAACCCCTCAAGGGTTGCAGGGCTATGTGGATGAATTAGCACAGGGCCACCAGTGTGGAGGGTAGGGGCGAGTGTGTGTGTGTGTGTGGCAAATGCATGGCTACCAAAGTAGTGTTCAGGGAGCTGCAGTTAGTTCTCTGAGAAGACTGGATTGAGACAGCCCCAGGGCAATCTTGTGAGCTGCACAAGTGAGTGGGTGCTTTCCTGTTGGTCCATGGGCCCCGTGGGTCCTTCTTGTGGGAGGCTCCTCTCAATCCTTCTAATATTAGACGTGTTCCTGTTTGCTCTCTGAGTTGCTCTCCAGTCTTCTATTTTATTTCAATGAGCACTGTCAGTTTTTCTTCTAAAAGTACTCTTTGAACATGCTGCTTGCTTTGAGCTGAGTTCGACCTGCCAGGAGCTTTCCTAGTTCCTCGACAGGTACATATATCAAAGGCAATTGTCCTACTGGATCTCACCAACTTCCCTGAGTGTATCTTGTATTACGGAGTTCAGAGAGGTTCCTTTAATGAAAGGCAAGAAAGAGGGATGTTGCCCAAGAATTTCCAGCAGTCTGTGAGGCCGGTCTGGTCCTGGCCCCTGGAAGATGCAGATTTTCTCTAAATTAAATGAACCTGCAGTTCTGGAAGTAACCTCTGGGTGGAGCTCGTAGTACTCACAAAGAACCCTGCAAGCGGAAGGCTTGTCTGCAGCCTTCTGCGCTGAGGTTGTTTTTGAAAATTTATTTTTTTCTTGCCCTTTTTTCTCTGCTGTCCTCAATTTGATTGCCTTTTAATAGTCAACAAGAAAGGCGAGGCTCTGCTTTATAATGCCTTGGGTCTTACATGGAAATCTCTAACCATCTCAGGGCTTTGTGTTTCTGATACTGAGTAGCCCCTGCATTAAGAAAGGATTTGCTCGCATTTGAAGTGGAGGTGAATAATTCGCTTTCTCTTCCTGGTATGACTTGGCACTGTCTTTGGGCATGTGTTGCATGCAGTATATCACGCAGGCGGAAGATTTCTCATCAATAATAGTGCCCACAGTGGGCCAGTGCTGAGTCACTTGGCAACCCACTGGGAAAGCTGGGAAAATGTTCCGCTTTGTGGCAGGCAGAAGCTTTGCTTTCCCTCACCGTGGAGCCCTGGCCTGCAGCTAATTGAAGTGCCTCCTAAGAGCCGTCGACCTTGGTGTTGCATGCGACCTGCCTCTTGGACTGGGCAGGTCTTGGTCCCCGCAGTGGTCTGAGGCCTGACGCCTGGGCTTTTGTGGCAGTGTGACCGCATCTCCATATGGGAGCGTGTGCGTGTAGTTTAATCATGCTCCTCTCTGGGGGTGATCACTGCTTCAGTGAGAGTAAATTTGTTCCCTGCGTCTCTGCCCTTTCCTGCTCCCTGTCCTTATCGCTTAAGAGGCCATGGGTGGCCGTTGTGCTGTGAAACCGGTGATGGATGTTTCCAGTGGAAATGTGGTATCGTGAAATAAACACCAGTTTCTGTTTAGGGCTCTGTGAGCCCAGCAAGAATGTGCTCTCAGTGTAAACAAGCAGCAAAGGACAGGAGGCCTGCTATTTTTTCCCGTTGTCATAGCTATTGAGTGAGTGTTAGGCGATGCTAGCATGTTTTGAGGGGTGTCTTCGGGAGGATTTGCCCTTGGCGGAGCAGCAGAGGAGGATCTCAAGGTCACTACGCTGTGATTCCGAGGTCTGGCAGGAGAGGGACTCGGCACCACCTCAGCCACCCTGGCCAGCTCTGGGTCAGATAGGGAGGAGAAGCTTCCTGGGCTCAGCTCATCTCCAGCTGGATTCAATTTCGTAGCCAAAGGCTTCCTCCCTTCTGCAATATTTATCTGTGCTCTTTGCACCTAAGACCTAAGAGTGTTAGGACACACGTAGAGAAAAATACCAGGCTGAAACTCACAGGAAGGTAGCAGCCTAAGGAAGCTTAAGGGAGTGACCTTCACCTTGGCCACAGCAGGGGCACAGCACTCTGCGCACGGTGCCAACTCCACAGGTCTGTGACTGCCATGCATAGGCTTTGAGGGAGGTGGGAGAAGTGGAGAAGAGCGAGGTGTAGCTTGCCTCTTTGACTTTGCCTGTAAGCTCTGTGCTGAGTATTGGATTTCCCCCGGTATGCACTTGCTACCTGCACTGAGCACATCCTGAGCCCAGAGGTTCTCAAGGGGTGCTTCTCAAGGTGAGATCAGCCAGCAGGGAACTTGTTAGAGGTACAAATTCTCAGCCTCACCCTATCATCTGTGCTCCGGGGCTGGGGCCTGCGTTCCTTCCCGCCTCACTGGCCGCCTGTGTGCTTTCCAGATGCAGGCTCCTACAGTGTGCCCAAGAGCTTTCTCTCTCCTGTAGATCCTGCTTTGCCACCCATACCAAGGGCCTGACGTGTGAGGTTGTTACCACGCCTCCCGCAGCCTCCCTCAGTGGACAGTGGGTGGGAGTTGAGGTGGCCCTGTCCCAGCGCCCTCGTGCCTGCAGGCTGTGTCTCACTGGGCCCCCAGAGCTTCCCCAGTGGGCTTGAGCCGCTTCTCCTCACTCTCACCCCTGGAGCATGTGTTTTGCCCGGGCTTCCTCGCCTTTAAGCCACAGTGCGGCGTGCTGTGTCTGCATGCTGGCCTTACTTCCGCAAACTCCATTGCAGGTATTTCCAACACGAAGTGCCAGGGGTGGGGTTCAGGCGTGCTCAGTGGCGATCGCTTTTCTGCAGGGCCTCACCCTCCTGGCACAGCACAGGAGCGCAGGGATGCAGGGACCTTGGGAGAAGTGTTAGTTAAGGTGCTGCAGACTCAGGAGCTGAGGGAGGAGGCCCAGGAGGCTACATGGAGGCCCCCATCTGCCCTTTCCTCTCTTCCCCTGTCCATCTCCAGGCACGATCCGTGCTTCCTCACCCGCCAGTCTCAACAACTCGGTGTCCAACTGTCCTTCGCACTTCTGCTGCACCATGTGCATTCATCTGAAATGGTTGTGCAGAAGAAAGGGCTGTTGTCATACAGTCGGCTGCCCTTCCCCATTACAGGGCCTGTGTATCTGCATCACTGCTCAAGAATGCAATCGCCCTGCTGCCTGAATCCACCCCTGGGCTTGCCAGAGACACTAGGGCACAAAACAGCATGGAGACCGCCCCCTCCAGCTCCCACGTGCCCGTCCTGAGCTTGCACCCACTCTCAGGCCCCGTCTCCCTGCCTCTGTGTCAGTCTCTTTTGCACACACACACAGACCAAGGGAATGGACTTCATTATACTGGTGTCGTCTTTCTCTCACTGGCTTGAACAGGGTGTCAAACACACAGGTTAGGAAGACACACTAGAGACAGCCTGCCTAGGGTCCAGCCAACGTGCACGGCTTATTAGCTGTGTGACCCTTTGGGGGATTTCTGGATGTCTCTCACCCTGAGTTTCTGCATCTGCACATGGGGAGATGTGTGCCTACCTCAGTGACCCGAGGACTAAAGGAGTCATTGCACCTACAGTACCTAGCAGAGCTCCCGGAGCAGGAAATGG